AATAGAAATACAGACATGGAGAATGTTGAAAATAGTCAAGAAAGGAAAACGAAGGCGTCTTTGCTTAGCCTCCATTGTGATGTCAAAGTGCAAATGCGTCAAATTTTTAGGCAACTGGAATATAGGAATATACCTGGCTGGCATGTGATATGGGTTCATTTTTCGTGTCACGTAATGACTGTGTTAAATGCGAGGGTGATGGGTTATTTCAACGAAAATTTTTTTTTTGTAAGAAAGAAGACCGTAAGATAATAATAGGTAGGGAAGAGGTCAGAAGAAGGTGTCTTAATTTTTAAATTTGTAATGAAGATGCTGGTCCTGTATAAATGGGTAGACAAGGGAAGAGTGGAGAAGAGAGGGGGAGAGAGGGGAAGAGTATGTTGACTCCTGGTTTTAGGTAGCCTGTGTTATTTCTCTCAATACATTTTTGTTTCTCGTTGGCACAAAAATCATCGATTTTGATAAAAATTGATACATTGATGGATCTCGGATTGGTGATGAACTTTAAAATATAATTTTGACTTAAGAGTGATCACGTGACTAGTTTAAATGTTTAAGGGATTTTTTTTTTTTTTCTTTTTAAAATGTGGTCGCGAGTTTATACCCTACATAGACTTTACTTAAAGGCTTTAACTAAGTATCGCTTGAAAAACACTTGGTTATCTCTTAATGTTAAGGAGAAATTTTGTCAAATAAGTCACGTGACAATAGATTTCGTTTAATACCCCCTTGATATCTCCCTTCTAAGCAATCCATTTCAAGTTTTCCATACGTGAAGTTGACCTCATAAAAATTAGCGCTACGAATTGATATCGACATCCACGATCATTTTAAGTGAAAACTAGCAAATGTATTAAAAGGACGCAGCCTTTTTATCTTAAGAATCTCAAATCTTTGCGGGGGTCTTTTCACTAGGATAAAAACATGCCTTAAAATACTTGGGAGGAATTCATTCAAAGGGGAACGTTCACTTAGTTTAAAAGATAAGATGGGTTTAGTAGGGGAAAAGGATGTTTACGATGGAAAGCCGATGTAGATGAGGCTAAATAAAGTTAAACATTAAAAACAAAAGTCTAGCCGCATCACGAACGTAACCATAACGGGAAAAGACCTAAAACAAAACCACCCGTTTAACTTTTTTCTAATTGACTGCTAAACATTAACAAGCAACTTTTTACTAAAATAACATTCAATGTTACCCAGTAATCTCTCCTTCAAGATTGTTTCAAGATCTAATTTTATTTATATTTTTAAATATAAAATGCGAGTATATAGCATGCACTGATTCATATTTGGTATCATGGCCTAAAACATTGAAAACTAATACTATGGAAATAAAGGTAAATCTTTACTAAAACTTTTATTACGGTTAAGAGACACAAACAACACTGGCGTCTTCGCTATGTTGGCAATTCTCTACTCCCCATCCCGCGTGACGACAGTCTTGAAGTCTACCTTCGCTTCCGGTACAGCTCACGTTGTCCAGCCATATTGGACCAGACCCTTGGCCAAACTTAGCTTTAATCGGAGCCCTTTGAGCATCTTTGAGCCCAAGCTGTCTGCAAACAACACGTGCATTGTTCATGTCCCATTCATCATCACACACTGTTCCCCACTGACCATTGTGATATATCTCTACACGTCCTTCGTAAACGTTTGCAGATCCATGCAGCCGTATGTCTACGCCAGTAAAGAGACCATAGCCATTATAAGTCAATTGGTTTACGAATGTAAAAATAACAGCGCGGATTCTAACATACATTCTCATTTCTTTAAAGCTTTTCCCTCTTACATTTCTCTTCTCTTCTCATTCCTTTTCGTTTATTATGATGGATGATAATCATAGAAAAATGTAACACTCCTTATAAACCATGATCAGAGTTTAGAGAAAGCAAAAGAAGCTCTTCACATATAAGATAGGAGCTTTGCAAAACAAAAAATATGTTTGGCCAGTAACTTACCTTTAACTAGACCACTTATTACAAGATGCTGTTTTATAATTCCAAACCCATTTTCTGCAGTACAAGTGTAATTTCCTCTATGTAGATAATTTGCACGGATTATCTTTAGCGTCTTATTTTCTGTACTGTAGTTTGACAATGAATGTTTCCATACGATTCTGGGCGTGGGAACACCAGTTACGCTGCACACTATCGAAAAATTCTGTCCATTCTTCAAGGTGATAAGTGCTGGAAGATTTTTTCTTATAAATGGTGGCACTGCAACATGGGGGGAAAAACAATTGCGATTTTACTCACAACGGTGATTTTCTTAATCGCACTTTTACTGCGATGATATAAAATAAACGTCCGTATTCCAATTCGATCATAGAATGATCGAGTACGACATGTGCTGTTAGCCCTTTATTTCACTCAGGGCCAAGCTAAAAAAAAAAAAAAAAGCTTTTAAAACCGTCAGGCTATTTTACTGCTAAGACTATATATTTTAGCACCCTTCTCAACTTGCTTTTTCATTTCAGAAAATAATGGTGTCACAAACCTGCATCTTGAACCGCTAGAAATGTCGTCACCTTAACTTCACCGAGAATATTCCTGGCTGTTGCCTGGTAACGACCAGAGTCTGTGTACTTGACATTCTTTATAATTAGGTCTCCGTTTTCCTGCCGAAATCGTCCATCGCGTTTTTGATCCCAGTAAGGCACTTTCCAAGTTATTTTCGGGATTGGCCATGCAAATACTTCAAAGTGGATTTTTTTTGTGTGTGTTCGATAACCAAACTCTGTAACATCTGGCCTTTTGATGATCTTTGGTCCGACTAAAAATGGGAAGAGCAATCATCATTCTCTATTTATCTCGGTTGTTATGTTAATGTCGTAGGTATTTCTAGATTTCAATCAATGATCAGCTCCAGAAACTGACCACCATTACCCGATGTTCTGATTTCGGAAAATAGCATGCCTTGTGGCTAACTGTGCAAAAACAACTATATATAGATTTATAAAACAACTGTTATGAATGTCGCGTTCTGATTGGTTTGGAGCGAGTGCTTTATGAGAGCACATTGCACGCGCGCGCACTTTCCGTTGCTACATTCCTATCTATTATTTTAATTTGTATTTTATAAAAGAAATAAAAAACTTGCTTGCTGTGCTGTGTGCAGTCATAAAGCACTTGGGGATTGGCAGACACTCGAGAAGTGTCCAGAAGCACTCCGCTACGCGTCGTGCTTCTCCTAACACTTCTCTCGTGTTCTGCCAACACCCGCTTGCTTCATGACTGCACACAGCACGTGCACGCGTTTTCTATTTCTTCAATAGATGAGGCATGGTGAACAAATCATATTTGTACTGAAGCTAGATTGCAATAATGAACCTTGTTCGATATCTCAGAAAAAGTACATTCAGGCGTTATTTGTTAACTTGTGAATAAGCTTATAAACAAAACTGGAAGGGAATAACGTCACATTAAACCAACAAATAACCATCTGATTCAAGTGAATTAAAATTTTACACTTTATATCTAATCTCAGGGCATAATAAGTAAGAGACGTCGGCATTGTTTAAAACAAATTTGAACATTTGCAAAATTCCTTTAAAAAAATCGTTAGTATTTAATAGTAACCAACCTTGGACGATAACTTTCACTTTCTTGACAGTCATGCCTACGGTGTTATTGACAGTGCATACGTATTCACCTCGATCCTCATACTTAGTACGTGATATATTCAACATCTGAGAGTCATACACGTATCGACCTTCTGGTAATAAATCATTGACTTTAGACCAACAAATTTCAGGGCTCGGATACCCTGTGGCGTTGCATGGTAAGACCAAAGTCTGACTTTCGTTGATCGTCATTGGTTGATCTAGAAATGACGTTATCTTGGGGAACACTGTAAAACGAAACAAACATAAGGTTCGACTGGCATTTTTTATTTGAATTCAAGAGCATGAAAACTCATTTTACCATTGACGGTAATTGTAGCCTCAGTTATCTTGGATCCGAGAACATTTGTTGCCAAACACACATAGGTCCCTTCTTCTTCTTTACTGATCTTATAAATATGTAGATCTCCTCCAGTTATATTGTACTGACTGGGCATAGGACCTCCGTCCTTCCTGTACCACGTGATCACTGGAGTAGGAACACCAGAGGCGCGGCAACTAAGCTGTACGTCTTTACCTTGTACGATTGTGCGGTTTGCTGGTGTCTTAGTGAACTGTGCATTGACTGCAAAGTATAAAATAAGCTAAGACTAGCATTGCCTTACAGGCGCATGTAATGTAATGCTCATTACAGCTAATTCAGCCGCGACTGACAATATATTTCTATGTATAAATGCAATAATTGATCACATACTCTTACCTTGCACTAGGATCCGTATCCCGTAGTTGTAAACACCCAAGATATTACGTGCCTTACAGAGGTAAGTCCCTGAGTCTGAACCACGTGACTGTTTAATAACCAAGATACTTTGGGTTACTGGATGTGGGATTTCACTGGGACACATCTGGTCTCTGGCAGAAGCTGGAAAATATCAAAACAAGAAATACAAAATTAAAAAGAAACATCATTGTTATTACTAGTAGTGTGTTACTTTTACCTGGATTTGTCACGACGTCACGATGTTTGATAATGTAACGATGAGAACCATTGTCACGTTTTCCAACAAGCATGACATTATCACGGTACCACGTGATCTGTGCAGGTGGATTGGCCGTTACGTTACAGGACAGGACAGCATGATCTCCTTCGTTGAACACTAAGTATCGAGGACTTGGTTCGAAAGTAGGATAGGCTGAAATATTAATGAATACGTTATTCAGTTGCAATAGGTAAATAAATCTGACATCAAGAAGCAACCAAACACATTCAAAAAAAAAAAAAATTAGACGAAAATATTACGCTTATTTAAGGAAGGTTTGATTATAGGGTGAATGAGCACTAGTGGCTAATGTGAGTAGTTTCCTTTAACTAGTGATTATCCATAGTGGAATTTTAAAAAAAAACAAACAACACTACAATAGTTTCATCTCACAATTTATAATCCGCGGTAATTGTTAGTGACTTGTTGTATTTTTCATCCAGCACCAGGCAAAGTATCATTGGTATACTAGCTGTGGTTATGATGAATATTTCTTCGGCCTCACTGTGCAAACTTAATCGGATCAATGACTCACCAAATGAGGTACCGGAACATCCTTTAGGTCCCATAGCTCCTTTTTGCCCTGGTTCACCTTTCTCACCAGGATCTCCTTTAAGACCTGCTAACAAGCAGACACAACACATTATCCAAAGGAAAGACAAGTCTTACAGTATTTCATAATCATATTCTTGGTCTGGCTAGGATTTTTTTTTTTTTTTTGATTCTCCATGTTCTTTTTTAATTGTCTAATTTATTTTTGTTTTTGTTATTTTTTGGGGGGGAGGGGGGTATAAAAGTGGGGGACCTATCATACCTTGCAATATTCCACAACCATCCTTTTTGTTACCAGTTGTCATTTGACTCTGTAGAGTAAGAAACACAATCCAGTGACCTTGACATAATACAGAGCATATTTGTGAACATACGGTTGCATGTAATTCGACTTTTAAAAAATATAACTTTTGAAATAGTTTCCGTTTTATTTGTAAAAGAAACATGACTTAGTTAGCATTCTTGTCTTCCCTACAGCAGAGGAAGATCGCTTGCTTTGCTGCCAATACTGATTTCTGATACTTACTTCGATAATAACTTTAAACTTGTCGAGACAGGAAAACAGCTGACGAGCCTCCTTTCCTAAGATGTCTGATATCGTCCTGTCCTTAGTGGACTCTTTGTTAAGTTTCGATTGACTAGCCTTATTGTCTTCATTTGAATTATTCAGGATTTCGAATTCAGTAGAAACACTCGAACTCGCATTAACTTCGGTTTCCTTTAGAATCGTGCTGTTGTCCAATGACTTCGTGGAACCGTTTTGTTTCCATCCTTCATCTGAACTATTCAGGATTTTGATTCCAGTAGAAACAGTCGTATCCACAGAGGCTTCTCCTTCTTTGAGGATCGTGTTGTTGGCCAATGATTTGCTCTTAGGACCAAGCTTTCGTATGTCTTTGCCATTGTGTGAATGATACTCATTTTGAAAGCGATGATTGAGTTGATCGTCCAGTGTTCTTTTAGACATATAATGAGCAGTCGTGATGTCACTTTTATCTGTTGCCAGACTGCCTGTGCTCTGTTTGGAAAAAGAGTCAAACGACTTGCTAACTTCGTCATCCTTTTGTTTGTCCTCACTAGTGGAACATTTGCAATCGTTTCTCTCAAGTTTCTCAATTCTTRATTCGTTGACAAGTTGGTTACGAACGACTGCGATTACGAGTCCAATAGAAATACAGACATGGAGAATGTTGAAAATAGTCAAGAAAGGAAAACGAAGGCGTCTTTGCTTAGCCTCCATTGTGATGTCAAAGTGCAAATTCGGCAATTTTAGAGGCAACTGTGAATATATACCTGGCTGGTATGTGATATGGGTTCATTTTTCATGTCAGGTAATGACTGTGTTAACTGCGAGGGCGATGGGTTATGTCAACGAAAGATAACAAAAAGCTAACATTTGTTGTGTTTAGACTAGTGTAGAGGGAAAATCATCAAGGGAAATTTTTCTTGGCGGCTTCCATCCCATTTAAAAAAATATACCTATTTCATGATATCGGATACTGATAGGGCTATGTATACTTAATTAACTAGTGATTAGAAACAGTGGGATACATATAGGTCACTCGGACGTCAATTCCATCGGGCTGCGTTACTTGTTTAAGGTTCTTCATAGACGTCAGATAAAGTGTCGCTTAGTTCATGTCTCCATGCATATTCTTAGTGAATGTGCCCGTTTGAATGCCTGTCTCGTTTGAATCCCTGTACTCTAGGAGGCTTTCAACCCGCTGTACTGTCCCCCATGTCTTTTTATTCTGTTTTCATTTATATGTTTTTGATTAGACGAAATCTTTAACTTTATAATCGAACCCTGAAACAACCTCTGGGCTGTTCAAAGTCAGAGCGCGGCTAAATCGCAGATCGATACTCTGAAACAGCCTCTGGACTGATCTAAGTCAGGGCACGGCTAACTCACATATTGAACCCTTAAACAACCTCTGGACTGATCTAAGTCATGGCACGGCTAACCCAGATCGAACCCTGAAACAATTGCAACCTCTGGACTGATCTTAGTCAGAGCACTGCTAACTCACAGATCGTACCCTGAAACAACATCTGGGCTGATCTATAAGTCAGGGCACGGCTAAATCACAGATTGTTGAACCCTGAAACAACCTGTTATGCCACTGTTTGCTACATTTAGATTACAATTTAATTACATTTTGATGGTTTACGATAATGATTCACATTAGTAGTCAAGGAGATGCTGGACCACTAGATTTGAAAAGTTGAGTGTTTAATCACTGTGATATCGAATTGTGGACTTCCTGAACTCGGAAATAATTGTCGCACTAACTGTCCTAAGTTACTTGTACTAGGTATTATTATAGTTAAAAACCAAAGTGATTAGGAGTTTTGTTTGGGACAGCATCTCTCTTCGAAATAGTTAAAAGGAATCCGAGAATTATTTTGTAAGACAGTTGAGTTGAGCCGAGTAACTGATAGCACAAGCATTCGACAGAAGCCCTACAATAAAAAGTTAAAGGTATTTCCCTGCCTTGGAGATCCTAGGTACCGTAGTCTTACATTGGTGGAGAAGCCTCAGCGCTTAGAGATAACAATAACAATCTTTCACCACATACCTTGGAACATGGAAAACAATATTAATCTTCAGCTACACTATGATTTATTGCAAGTACCTAAACCAACGACTATAATCAAAGATAACTTTACTGATCAACTCAACAAATTATGCAACTTGTATGACAAACAATTACTTTACAATATTGACCACGGAAGCAAGAAAATCGAAGAGATTGAAGAAAATGGTACAACATTTCTCGAAATATTGTTATACACCGTGGCTACCATTACAATAGTTCACACATTCTTGTGATCATCGTACTGCTTGCCATCTCATGCAGAAGGCTGGGGTGGACCAATTCAAATCCAAGTTAAAGCTTGGTTAACTCACCGTTTGAATAAGAATGATAAAAGGTAAATTATATACCATGAAAAGATGAAAAAAAATACTTTTTTACTTTTTTCATCTTTTCACAGTGTATAATTTACCTTTTATCATTACTGTTTCATTAGAAACACCGACGCAGCTCATACTAGTTTTTATCTAGTTATCTCTTCGTTTGAATAAGAATTCAGTATACGTTAGGTCTTGTGGAAGGAGAAAGAACTGGAGAATTACCTGAAGAAAATTAAACGCATTGCATCGAAGAGACAAAAAAGAAAAAAAACTCTACCCAGATTGTGAGCTCGTTTTTTTATTGATCATCGTTTATTATCTATTTTTGAAAATTTAAAAGACAATTATATTATAGTTAACATTGGAAAGTGTTCAGTCTAGCTAATGAGTAACAAACATTGTGGGTCGGGTTGGACAGATCACAACATTTAATGTTTTTTATATCGTTAGTCCACGGCCAACAGCAGTTGATGTAGTGACATGGCCAAGCGGAAGACCTCTTTCTTATTGCTTTGCCTTCCCTAATCGACCGCTACAAAACAATTTTCCAAATGACATTTATTAGCATAGTATARCACTAACACATTCTAGCTAGTTTTAGGGGGGGAGGGGTATGTTAAGTATACCGGAAATAATAGTTTTCCCCTGTTAAAGCCAATGGTGATAATTAAGATTTTATTAAGTAATATTTGATTAAACACAGGGTTTATGAGTTTATACAAGACAATTCAAGCCGCACAGGGTTTATGTGTAATGCAAAATCTGGGTAGGTCACAGGTACCGATTGCAAAATCAAGTTCTTCGTAAATTTCGAAATTAACAAAAAATAATATTGTAACGAAAAAAGTTGAACGTTATAGAATTTTTCAACCGATATGCTTGCTATGCAACGTAAGGTTTAAACCAGAAAATTGATGTCGGTAATGTAAAATAAGAGTAAAATATTGACACTTTTGTGAAAGTGACAAACTCGTGACTTTTTCAGTCTTTTAATGCAAAAAAAAAAATATATATATATATATATATATATATATATACTAATCCACGACCTACCTTTGTACTTAACAAGAAATCCTGTTTTTTGTTTGGAACGATCTGAGATGAATTGCAGGTACAGTGCGTTTGATGAACTAGTGATGTTCGGTGGTAAAGCATTCCCGCTGAATTCACCAAAGAGATGATTGGATGTAGAATTGCCGTTGTATATTCTCAGTCTGTCACAACAAGATTCAGTGTCGAAGCTCGTGAAATATAAACTGATTTTAGCATTGGATGTTAACTTCCAGTCGTATTTGAAATTTCCTGGGTAGTTACTCGGGTAATTATACGAGAATAGTGTCCCAGTCGATCGGCTCGTCGTTGAGTAAGACTTGTATCTGTAGCTATAATAGTCCCTACGTCCTTCTACCTTAACCCATCCTAAATACAAAATTAAAAAATCAAAAAAGGCGCAAATTAAAACTATTTGTTGCAAATACATTTATAACCGGCTGAATATTACTAATTTATAGACTATTACAGACACATTACATTATGAATCAAATGTCAAGTTTTAACGGCAGATATTTGCAATGGGTCCTTACTTTCTATTATTGTCACATTAAGGGTTTGCTGATCAGACCCAAATGCATTTGTAGCCGTGCAGGTATAGCGTCCAGCATGTCGACTTCCAACATTAACGATATTCAGAGGTAGGCTCAGTGTTGTTTCAGATATTATCGTGTTATCCTTGAGTGTCCAAACTATCTCAGGTGTTGGTACCCCTACTGCATGGCACATCTCGGTTAGGTTTCTTCCCTCTTTCACCGAAATGCGCTTTCGAAACTCTTTCGATATAATCAATGCTTGAACTAGAAAAGTAAACAATTCGTAGGTAGCACAATCACAATACGTCAGGTTCTGTTTACACAGAACCGGATCACTATGATAATGTTAGTGATTTTCCATATATCTCATTTTGCTTAAAGCATACTGTTTACTGCTTGGCGTACCAAAAGCTTTCCGGAGAAGCCAGGTGTTCACACGGTACCGAACAATTCGACCTCGAATTTTTAGGCCTCAAATTTGCACAGCTAGGAGTACGAATCCCTAAAMGTGCAACTTTTTAACCTGTTAAAAATCTGTCCGGTACCGTGTAAACGTAACCTCAGTCACTCCTTCCATCGTTTATTCGTTTTTATCTTCTTCCTTTCTTCCTTCCTTCTTCGCTTTCCTTTCTTTCCTTCTTCCTTCCTAAACAAAAATACCGTGAAGAAAACCATAAACACAAAACTTCATTTCTTACCAGCATCTCTAACTATCAGTAAAGTTGTCACTTTCACTTCACCGAGAATATTCCTGGCTGTTGCCTGGTAACGACCAGAGTCTTCGTACTTGGTATTCTCAATGAAAAGAGAGCCATTTCTCTGTCGAAATCGTCCCTCGTTGACATCCTTGCGGTTTGTTTTTTTCCAAGTTATTTTGGCTTCTGGAAAAGCAAAAACCTCAAACAAAAAAGTATGGGATTTTCCACGATAACCATATTCTCTGGCGTTAGGTATTTTCGTGATTTTAGGGCCAACTGGAAAACGAATAAAAACAAAACGGAAAAAATGAATTGAAATAATAATGTTATTCACATCACTTTCTTAATTTTCTGTGGGGCCCGGCCCTACAAGCATCGAAAAAAGCATCAAAAAAARAGGATAAGATTTCCATGGATAAATACCTTGAACAATTACTGTAACCTTATTGACAGTTGTGCCTACGGTGTTATTGACAGTACATACATACTCTCCTCGATCCTCGTACTTAACACGTGATATATTCAACATCTGAAAGTCGTACAAGTAACGACCTTCTGGTAATGAATCATTGACTTTAGACCAACGAATCTCAGGGCTCGGGAACCCTGTGGCGTTACATGGCAAGACCAAGGTCTGACTTTCGTTGAGCGTCATTGGTTGATCTAGAAATGACGTAATCTTGGGGAACACTGTAAAAAAGAACAAGCCGCAAAACCTAATCTTAATTCGACTTTTTTTCTTTACTAAAATTTCAGAACAACACAAAAGCAGGTGTCTGTCTCCATTGGTTAGTGCGCGACCTTCAGAGCTAGAGGTCCACGATTCGATACTCAGAATCTCCATGTCTTTTTCGATTTCTCCCTGCTTTGTCTGGCTCTAGATTTGGATAGCCATAATAAGGAGCAATGGTAGTCTGAGGGGRTAAAGGGCAAACCTTGGGTGGCTTTATACATAAGCCTTTAACCACTCCCCGCGCGTTATTGAAGTAAAATAATTGCCATCACCTTTTTAAGAACCTTACCATTGACGGTAATTGTAGCCTCAGTTGTCTTGGATCCGAGGACATTTGTTGCCAAACACACAAAAGTCCCTTCTTCTTCTTTACTGATCTTATAAATATGTAGATCTCCTCCACTTATATTGTACTGACTGGGCATGGGACCTCCGTCCTTCCTGTACCACGTGATCACTGGAGTAGGAACACCAGAGGCGCGGCAACTAAGCTGTATGTCATTACCTTTTACGACTGTGGTGGAGGATGGGTAAGCAGAACACCTAACATACACTAAAATAAATCAAAACGTAGGTTTTTGAGTAGAGTTTGGTTTCTCTATAGATTTGAAGTTTCAATTGGTTTCTTTTCAGCCCCTTCCGGTCTAGATCTGTGAATTTGTTGGGCCCTGACTTAGCTAGTCCAGAGGTTGCTTCAGGGTTCGATATTGATGTTCATATTATATAGCTTTTCTTTGATTGGTGCGCATTTGGAGAGACTTGAAAACCTCAGCTCTATTCACAAGCGTCATATAATCCAGTTCGTAAATGTATAATTCACCTCGTACGAGAACTGGTATTTCATATGAGACAGCACCCATCATATTATATGCCTTACAGACGTAAGTCCCTGAGTCTGAACCACGTGACTGCTTAATAACCAATGTACTTTGGGTTACTGGATGTGTGATTTCACTGGGACACATATAGAGTCTGGCAGAAGCTGGGAAACAATGTAAAATCTTTATTTAAAGAGAATTAAGGTTTTCTACATGTGATAGAAATGACTCAGAACAGCAAACGTTCGATAAGATAGCATTGTCTGGTATCGCTATTCACAAAAAAAACAGCCTACCTTTCTTAATGTGGATGTTGCGATTCTCAATGATGTAACGTTGGGTTACATTATTTCCTTTTTGAAACAGCACTCTGTTGTTACGGTGCCACGTGATCTGTGCAGGGGGACTGGCGGTTGCGTTACAGGACAGGACAGCATGATCTCCTTCGTTTAACACCAAGTATCGAGGACTTGGTTCGAAAGTAGGATAGGCTGGGAAAAATTAAGTAAGTACAAAGCACAATGCAATGGCATTTAGAAAAAATTCTTATTATTATGACTAGCAATATTAACGCAAACATTGCATTGCACATTCGTTGGCACCAGTACTGGCAGATGACATCCACATTGTTTATGAGATATCAACATGTGGAGGGTGAAGATGCTGGATTCGTTGAGGTTAATAGGGGTGCTTCTACCAACAATAACAAAATATCAGACAAAAACCAAATTATATTTTATGTATACAGGACTCCAGTTATACCCAGCCAGTGACTTTACTGTATTTCCTTGTAAAATATCAAAGTATAAATCAAAAATAAATAAAAAAATTACAAAATAAAGTCAAATTATATTCAAACGTGCAAATATATTTGCTCCTACCAAATGAAGTCCCGGAACATCCCTTTGCTCCTAAGGCTCCTTTTTCTCCTTTTTCTCCTTGTTTGCCTTTCTCACCAGGCTCGCCTTTAGGACCTGAAAAGTTTATTTATTCAAATTACGGTTGGCTATCTCAAAGTGACCACATTGGAACAAGGTTGCAAGCAGAAATTAAGAAAACAGGCTTGAGGGAAGTTATCTGGTCAGGTGTCACTTTACCTCTCAAACGTTGGCATCCTTTTGCCATGTTTTTGTCCACTTCACCGGATTTAAATTGATTCTGACAAGAAAAAAATAGAACGTTGTCAATACAGGTGGTCATACATTGTGAGGTCATGTAAGGGATATGAGGTGGGTTGGTTTCTTTATTTTTTACAAAATTTGTATGTATTTAATTATCTCAGCATGATATACTGAGAGAATTTTGAAATTTCAAATTCAATTTTTTTTATATATACTTGAATTGCTTGGAAACTGTTGCATATGACTGGTTTTCTTTTCTCTTACATTACTACTCTTCCCAGTAGGCCGTTAAACCCCACGTTTTTTCAACCCATCCGGAGGAGCTTTTAAACCCTCCCGCGGCTGAGAAAAATTGATCGCCTGATCGCATTTTGTGTACCACGTGATGAGCTTTTGGATGTACCACGTGATCAAATTTTTTTGGCGTTGTCAAATTTTGATCACGCGGTACATCCAAAAGCTCATCACGTGGTACACAAAATGCGATCACGCGATTAATTTTTCTCAGCCTCGGGAGGGTTTAAAAGCTCCTCCGGATGGGTTGAAAAAACGTGGGGTGTAACGGTCTACTGGGAAGAGTAGTATGACTCGATAGAGCGATTATATTTAATTCGTGAAACAAAGTTGTACTATTAGTAGCTAACACTTCGTTAAACTAAATAAAAACAAATCACAATAGTCTACTAAAGTCTACTAACTATGTATTATGCGTACTATTTTTTCACGGGTTAAACTTAATCACTCTAAAGATCAAAAGAAAATAATAGAATTCATAAAGAGCATTTTACTCACAATTTGAGTCTTTCTTATATTTAGATGAAGTGTGCTGAAAATCGTACACATTACCTCTATAAAATATTTTAACTCTTTGAAGCAGGAAATTAGGTAACGTTCTTTGCTCAAAAGGTTTTTAAGGGTCTTAGGCTCTGGAGACTTTGTCTTATTTTCTTGATTCCCTTTTTGATTCCTTTAGCCAATGTCGTAGACGACACGGGAATTTCAGTCGTCGTACCAGTTGATGGTCTGGTATCATTTAAAGAGCCTTCTTCTATGATCCTGGTGGTGCTCGATTGGTTGGCAAGGAATGGTTCAGCACTAGCTGCGGCTTTATACGATTCTTCCTTGTATCCAGAAACCAATTGCTCGTCTAATGTCCTTCTAGCCAATGAATGAGCAGTCGTTACATCATGGGACTTAATAATATTCTCGTCAGTGATGGAGTCAAGTGACTTATTCGCTTCATTTTTCCTTTTTGTTTCCTCACTGATGGGACATTTGYAATCGTTTCTCTCGAGTTTCTCAAACCTCGATTCGTTGACAAGTTGGTTACGAACGACGGCGATTACGAGGCCAATAGAAATACAAACATGGAGAATGTGGAACACAGTCAAGAAAGAAAAACGAGGTCGCCTTTGCTTGGTTTCCATGGTATTCTGCATTCCTCAGGGACTCAGGACTTGCAATGGAATGAACGTTAATGCTCACTGGTGTCGAGAGATAACAGAGAAATAGGAAAACAAGAGTTCGATCCTCTGAGTTCGATCGGACCTTTTGACTCCTTCACTGAGTTAGTAATATGAGCCAGTAACTGTAGGGGGGCTACTAAGTCTGGAATTATAAGTTTCAAATTATAAATCACTGCGGACAAAAGCCTACGTATCGATTTCCGGTGTTGTGACCTCCGGTATTTTACTCAAAAACACGACCATTTTGGAGGCTGTTTTGACTATTTTACAATAATAATAGATTATAACCTCAATTTACCTCCACAAATGAGTTAAGTGATGTCTTACCATTTACCGTTAACGGTTTGAACTCATTGTGATCTGATTTCGGTGGGGGAAATTTTAATTTTTGAATGCTGACTGGAGACATTTTTAACTAGGCGTTTCTACATTTGAGTCAACCAAGTCGCGAAAAACTGTGTATGACTTGAATACGCATGACCCCAATTCGATTTTACCGCCAGAATATATACTTGGAATAAATTTCCCGCATTTTGATACCAAGATCGGCTATATTAATTGAGTTGTGCGTGGGGCTGAAATGGCTTCTAAATGTCCATATCTCGTCTGTTTGATTCTGTTGGCTGTCTGTATGACTGTAGCTGCAGTTGAAGATCGAAGATTTTAACGATACAAATGTCAATGCAAACTCTGAATTCGGACAGAATTCTGCTTCGTTTACTTACAGAATCAATACGTAAGTCCCTAAGTTTCTTATTACTGAAATTTCTCTCTCTCTCTCATGTAAAATCGGAATGTTAAGCCTGAATAGTCTGTTATTTTTTGCAATAAATGTGTAAGCTTGACAATGTTGTGATTTATATACGTGCAGCCTATTTATTTTGCCACTTTTCGTTTTTTAATCTACTTGTACATACATTCATATATATGCAATCTATTTTGTAGTACCTTACAGTCTATACATGAGATAGTTTAGACAGGGACAGCTCACCATGTTCGTTAGGTTCGCGTTAGTTAGATTTTCCTCTTTCATCAAATACTGTGTACTTATTTACTGAGTGAGAGGGCCGTACGGGAAAATATTTGGCTGAGGTGATGACGTACAAATGACCGAGAGCCAAATATTTTCCCGTACGGCCCGACCTAACTCAGTCAATAAGCATTTTATCATATGACCCTGAATAAAAAGATATTTTAAAAGTTGCAAATTATGTCAATATGGTCGCATGTTTCGAGCAGGGCCATACGGATTCGTACAGCCCTGCTCGCTCAAAGCCGTACGGCCCTGCTCACGCCATTTTCCCAAAGGTTTTTTTAAGAGCGCGCGTCCGGACAGATACGGGTCATATGATAAATACGTTAACGATCTGTTTTTCAATATTTTTCCTTTACGATCGAATTCTGAATGCTGTAACTTTCTGCTAACCTGCTGAGCGTTGAACTCGGCGCGCAAAGCATGAATGGACAAAATGACTGATCCTAAGCATTTTTGAAGCTTGGAATTACGAAGCAAAGGCGGCGGTATAGCTTATTGATTTGTAGACACGTATATTCTGTTTCAGTAAAAAAAAAAAAACAGAAAAATACGCAAAAATTGGATTACAGTAGCCTGGGAATGACTGCCAGCGCGAAACAGCTAAACGCTCTGTGATTGGGTGAAATAAATTTCACCGCTCAGCTGGATCGGAATAGTGGACCATGGCACAGAGAGGCTTGGAAGGGGGGAGGGAGGGGGAGGGGAGTATGTTCATTTATTCGTAAAATTATATATCACCGACGTTTTCATTCAAATTGCCTATTTCGGATCATGCATGACATTCCCTAGGGAATTGTTCCTAATAAGGCAATAAAGATAAAGATACGCATGCGCAGGAGTGCTAGTTATCTACTGCCATTTACCAAGTCAGAGATATATTGGGTCCGGCCTTGTACGCATCAGATAACTTCCCGCAGACCAGCATATACTGCTGCAGACAATCCACCTAAAATGATGACACAACGAAATTTGCAAGACGATTTATAATTTATTATTAGTATTGAGATTGCTAGGTTTCTCCCTTGAATCGACAGCTTTTCAACGGATTTTCTCGCTCCGTAAACCCTACGTGACACGCTAACTATGATTAGCAGAGGTCGTTTCAGGGTATTTTTTAAGTTAATTGGTAATAAAACTATAACTCTTCTACTTGTAGTCGTTTGTTGGCTATATTAAGATCCTTTAAATCTTAAAATCTGAGTTAAAAAACATATTTGTCGCAGTAGACAAGACGTTATTAGAGTACCTACGAATCCGAATCGAGGACAACTGAAGGTCGCATGCTCCTGTTTGTATACGTAATCCTTATATAAAAAAACTTTCTGGATTCGTTCCAGCTCACAAAACAATGACTTGAAGTTTCAACTTGGAGGTGCATTTACAGTGATTTTATCAAGTCTATCCTCCATCCTCTATTAGGGGTCATTACTTTGTGGTCCCTCAACCGGGAAAAAGTCTATAAAATTTAAAACCATTAGGGGATCATCACTTGAAAATTATAGGTGCTCAAGTAAATGCATAGTACCTGCAACAGGCATAGTAACGATCCATGCGAACACCACATTCTTGAAGATCGACCAGTCTACGACTATTTTGGACCTGACACGTCCGACCATGACGACCGAGCCCACTTTACAGTGAGTTGTACTGATTGGAATACCCAGGTTAGATGCGATAAGAACAGTGATGGCAGACCCGATCTCGATGCAGAAACCACTGAAAAAGAGTATTAATATTAGTTTGTTATAAATGAAAAAAATTCTGCAAATATAACAATTGGTAATACATGAACAAAAATGATTACGCCCCAAAAATATAATAATTACMAGAAAGAGTGAAATGTAATTAACGAAATAGGGAAAATTGCTTTGCAGGTAAAAAAAAAAAAAAGCATGTGCGGACCGTGTGGACACAACTCGTATCCGCAGAAAAAAATTTGCGGATACAAAAATTTCCGGATACTTGTGGACGGGGCCCTAGTGTCAATGCTAAGATCGTTCTATCTTTTAGTTGCTCTGTAAAAGAAGCCGCGTCGCTGTCCGGCATTTTGGCACATTAAGGTCCTCGCTATTAGGTAGATTGTAAGCGTGAGCATCGGACCGCTTCCCTATCTTACAGCTAATATATACTGGCACTAAATTATAATAATATAAGGAGTACAATACTTGTCTCTACAGCGATACTCGAGCCATATTCTCGATACCTTCGTCGTATTAGTGGTCTCCATTCATAGTTACATGACAGATACACTATTTTAAGAAATAAACAAAGGAAAGAAGGAGGGAATGGAAAAAGGAGTTACAGCACGACGCACAAACGTATGGCCACATTTAATGCATTGGCATACTCTCTATGCACAGGCATTTTACTATCAAATGACCTTTTACACGCCTTTTTGGAAACCAGCCAGCTTCGCGGCATCGGAATGTGTTGGTTTAACGTACATGCATTAACCGTTGCATAGCCGTTGGGAAAACATTTACCGTAATTTTTGTAAGCCGCGCTGTAAGGAATTCCAAGGAAAGAGAAAAAGAACAACAAACGAACGAAGATTGAACGCTATAGTGAACGATGTATGAATGTAAAAAGGGAAGAAATGCGATGTGTTAAAGATGTATAAGAACTCGCAGTTACGTCAAATTTATGAAAGTTTTCCCACTTTATATAGCAAGTTCAATTCTTTCCTAGTATTTTTTATAGTAATGAATGAGGACATTTTATATGCTATTTGCACCCCATCCCCAACACTTTTTTCCCATCCGCACCTTTTAAATAAACGTAATAATATAACGTTTTTCAAATATATGTGGTATTTTACATGCACCTAACTTCTATGAATTAATAAAAGGAGGGGGGTAGCAAAGTATATTGGGGAAAAGGTGTGAAAACAAACCGCATCTTTTATTCTTCCGCTTTCACTCTCTCTCTATCTCTTTCTTTCTTTGGTTGAAAATGTACGTTCTAAGAGTATTCGCTCATAATAAAGTTTAATGTACGTTACTTACCTTTTGCTATATTGCTTAATCAATCTTGTCAGCTATTAAGTCATATAAATATGAATTCCCATTATTATCGCCATTTGCATTGCTACGCGGCCACCCCAGACAAAAATCGCGACGTGCACTTTGCAATAGACTGCTGTCAATCAAACACGTTGACGTCATTTACACGCATTTGGATCGGCACGGATAGACCCGGTGAGTGTAGCTCATAATACTTGTAAACAATCGACAAGTTTTGGCGCCTTTTGAATCACACACGCGTGTAAATGACGTCAACGTGTTTGATTGACGGCAGGCTTTCGGCAAAGTGCACGTCGCGATTTTTGTCTGGGGTGGCCGTGTAGCTTTACAAATGGCGGTAATAACCTTTCTATTATTCACTTTCCTTAGTAAATGAAATTGCGAAGGTAGAAACTCAAAGAAATACCTAAATCTGCTATCGAAAATAGGCATAGGTAATGATGACTCTTTGAGCAGTTGTTTTCAATAGACCACTTTAGCTTCGGTCTAATGGTTTTCCATTTCAGATCAATTGTCATGCTCTTGAAAAAAAAGATGGTTTGCCTGAGTCGTCGTGTCCATATTCATTTGTCTTCTCAAGCGCAAGCGCTAACCAAAGAAATTACACTATATAGGGAATGACAGTTAATCTTAAATGGAAAGCCATTACACCTACGTACTAGCTAAAAAGGTCTAGCTATCATACCAGTTATTGAAAAGAATGTAAACTTCACATAACGACACTTTAATTTCAGCTATGTATCTTGAGCGTGAAAGTCGAGAGTTTCAGAAAAATGCTTTTAAGAAAAGATATTTGTTTCCTTTTGGTTTTTTAATCAAAAAGCTTTGGGTCTCAAGGCTATTCAGAAATCATTTTTCAAAAYATTTAGAAAATAAGCGTTGAAAGTGGGCATGTAAGTTGTTTTTCTCAATCTTTAAAGTATTCCAACAACATCTTTAATACTATTCGTTTCTTCTTCTCAGCTTTGGGAATTAAGGTTATCGAGACTGGGCAGAAAAACGACAAGCCCGCTACTTTCTCGATCTTTTTTATTTAACTGAGTTTAATACTCCAAATTTTTAAGCGTTCCATTTGTGTCACTGCTGCTCGAAAGTTGTGACGAAATTTTGTCGAATTAGAGAAAATCTACTTATTAGTATTCCGGAAAATGTCAATTTTTCTGCTGATCAAAGTATCGTCTCTCCCAAAGTACACGGCTTAATATCTCAAATACGCATTCAATGAATTTTGGTCGCATTTGGCTCCAAAAGAACGTGTTTACAAAATATTGAGCTTGAATTTGTAAAGCTGTCCTTATGGCGAAAGGCCAACAACCGTTTTTCTGCCCTGTCGGCTATTGAGGTATTAGAACGGTATGAGGAAACTAATGATAAAGGGAGTTTTGTTTTGTTCTCCTTCCACACTAATACGGCTAGCCGGCGTTTTCATATTTTGGTGCGTGCCTTTATGAATTTTACAATCTTTTACAGTTTGTCTGGGCTGACAAGGCTAACTATACTAGCGAAAACCGGAAAGCCTCCAACCTCGAACCAAGTGGAGAGGCCAARAAACTTAACTCAAATGTTATATCCCGAATTGAAACCGAAAATCCGCAGAGGCCGACACTATACGCATTACATTTTTCCTTGATTTCTAGGCCGTGTTCGGTAGAATTTTGTCATTTTCATAGCGTGACCATGCAGTGTGGCGTGACTCATCACATGGTCTATTCACAGCGCATAATCTAGAAATGCTCCTGTGATCGATAGAGTTTTGTCATTTTCATACCGTGACCATGCCGTGATCCGTGACTCACCGCCAGGGCCTATTCACACCGTATAATTTTAGAATACTCCTGCCTAAATTACGGGTTCGTTATACCGTATATAATCGGATTGATTGCACTGCTGGCAGTTCCTGCGTATGTTACAATCATCTGTGTTTCACGTGACAGATGATGGGGACTTATATTTGATATGAGCATCACGATCAACACAGGAACCCATGTCGAGACATATCCCAATAAAACCGCAAATAATGTCCACGTGATCTTGATTTCTCTTGGGCTAGTACCTAGTCCTCCCGTGTTGGATGAAGGAGCGACAGAGTTAGTGTGCTTTTTTATTGTCTTGAAAACGTTAAAGTAGCAAAATATTATGATAAACATCTGAAATACGATGTTTGCTACAATAAAAATGATAGTGGAAATGTTTATGACTGTGTCCTCTCTGCTGTAGAAATTATGGCACATGGCTCGGCTGGGATCAAACTTGCTGTAAAATAATGAATTGGGAATACCGCTGGCAATTGAAACAATTCCAAAACTCAACACCCAAACTAGACATATCACTACCAAGGACGTTGTATGGTTAAACATGGAATTGTATTTAGAAGATTTACAGACTCGAACGAAGCGGTTAATGGCCATGATGGATATTGTGTACATTGATATATAAGTGAGGCTCTGTGTCCATATAGATTGAAAATGGCATGTTACGGTTCCAAAGATCCACCGTCCTTCTGCCAAAGAAACTAATGTAAACGACAGCCCGAACAAACAATACATTATGTCTGTCATAGCGAGTGAAAACACAAAGTAGTTTGTTATTTTACGAAGTATTGGGTTACGATAGATCGAGATTACTACAAGTAGGTTTCCTCCTAAAGCAATCAGTCCTATCAGAAGTAACGTGCTTGTCGCTATGGCAACCTGGGCTGTAGTACGATTTGATAACGCCATCTGGTAGGTCATCTTTAAAAAAGAATGACAAGAGTGTAGCTTTAATTTCATGTAGGTGGTTTAAGTTTATTATTATTCAGCAACAGCAACAGCAACAGCAACAGCAACAGCAACAGCAACAGCAACAGCAACA